AAAAAAAACACATACTCGCGTATTTTTAAATCAAATTAAACTTTGAAAATTAAAAAAAAGATAAATAAATTTTCAAATTTAAAAATATTGGACAAGAATTTGAGTTAGAACTGTGCGTACGCGTAGAATTTTGAACCAAAACATAAATAACCAAAGCGGTTTTTGTTCGATTCGAAATTTCTGTGCTGAAATTTTGCCGTTAAACTACCTAAAATCCGAATATTCTACAATAGCAGCTTGAAACAACCAACAAAAACAATCAAATAGCCAAACAAGTACATACAACACTCAACATCAAAGCAACAACAGCAGCAAACCCTGTAGTACTGCAAATTGAACATTTAGCCGTAAGAATAGTTGCTAGTAATCAATGTTTTAACTTGAAGTGCAGCAGCTCAATAGCAGTCAGGAATTCTACAAGGCAGGAAACGGTAAGAACATCAGGAAGCAAACTCCCACAACAATCCCGCTTCCAATATGTCCTCACTATTACGAGTGAGTAATCAAACCACCGCCGAACCAGTTGAAGAAGAAAAACCACATCCACCCTGGTACGAATGGGTCCAGAAGAATGCTTTGCCGAAACGTTTTGAATTTCCACGGCCCAAGCGTGAAATGACACGCTGGCAAAAGCGCGGTCCAATGGCACGTCGCGACTGGATGCGCTTCTATCGCTGGGCCACCAAAAATGCCGTAGCACGCAAAATACCGCCACCACATTGCAGTGATAAGCCACCCTCCAAAGGTGAGGATGCTAAGAAAAAGAAAGAGAAAAAGAAGAAAACTTACACACTCGACGAATTGCTGGCGCATGCAGCACAGTTAAGCGAACCGAGGGATCCGCGTGAAAAATATGTCTATCCACCGCCGCCCGATTACCCGTATGCGCCGCAAATCTCGCACATAGAGCCAGCCAAAAAGGATGCCGGTCGACCATTCCAGCCTCCCAAGGTGCCTAAGTGGTTTCATCATCTCGAAATTGAGACGGAGTTCTGGTCCACGTTACGCTTTCCCATCATACGTGCGGCGCTCAACTACAAACCAACCGCGAATATATTGCGTCTGTCGCTGCCGCGTATCGTGCCGCCACTACGACCGCATTGTCCGATACCTGAGCCGCCGGAGGAATATGTGCCGCCACGTCGTCGCATGACCTATCGGCAATGGCGCGAGCATCTCAGACGGCTGGAGTATCTCGCGAAACCCGTTACAAGGCCATTTTATGACGATTTGTACGAGTGCATGTACTAGTTGACGTGTGTGCTCTGATGACGATGTGAGCCGAATTCAGTTCAGATGTGGTTAATTACGTCGTATTATTTTGAAGTAGTTTGTTAGTTGTTAGTTAGGTAACTTTTGAAAATAATTGTAAAATGTTAAGTTGTTCAGTGGAACATACTGGAAAAGAAGGCAGATAGAAATGCAGATGGAATTAGAAATCATGAGAATGGATAAGAGCATACTTTTGGCTATTAGCGGAAAAGCATAACTGAAGTAAAAGCCATTATGTCTTCAATCGTCAACTTTCTGCTTTCTGCACTTGCATTTGTTTTGCAGCGTTACCCTCTTTTGTGCGCTGCTATTGTAAATATATTTTATATTCAGTGTATTCGTTTTCCCTAAAAATAAGTTTTCACATTCAAGTATTTCCTACAAATTAAAGACTTATTTATAAATGAACAAAAATTATTTCATGTGCAAATTCGTCTGAAAAAATTATAACTTTGAAAATATATGTATTCGAGATATGGTATTGAAAAATCTGTAAATTAAAATGTATTTTTTTTTTATTTCGGTTGAAAAATATATGCGGCGCGCTGTTAATAAAAGCTTTATTTGCTGATTTGCCGCTGTTAGAATGTGCGAATGAACTTGGAGTTTCTAGATTTTATTTTTAACTAGACCTATGTAGTTCGTACTATGGAAGTAAAACTTCTTTCGATTCATTTAATGCTCGTTTCATACTGCAGGATTTTTTTATATTTCGTTGTGATTTAATGACTATGCCAATTGTGAATATTTTATTAGTTCGAAATTATATTAGTTGAGCTTTACGGTATAAGGTGGTTGACCGTATTTTTTGATGCTACTGTGTTTCATAAAGTTATCAATATTTTTTTTTATGCATTTTGGTGTATGACTTCGCCAAAATATTTTGGAAAAATATTAAGATTTACGTGAGTTGTTAAAGCGATTTAAAAATACCCCAAAGCAGTTTTTTGTGAATAAACCTATGGCCTTATTCATAAAAAATATAGGTTTAAAGAGCTAAACAAAGTGACATTTTCATACAAATTTTCGATTTATAAAGCAGTTAATAGTCTCCTTTATTTTTTTCCAAAAGATTACCTCACATCATCAGCTTAAAGGTCTGCATAAAAATGTTTAAAGGTTTTATCTACTGCATTAAAATAATAGGCCAATTGATGGAAAGGCGTAAATGCCTCGTAACCATGTAAATCTAGTAAACTTAATTTTGTATGGAAAATTGGTTATTTACAAGGTTTGCAGTTACGAGGCATTTAAGCGTTTGCATGAATACCTATAATGTGATTTTTTATGCTATTTTCGAAAAAGTCCAGCTGACGCAAATCCTAATATTTTTATGAAATATTTTGGTGGAGGTCTTAAAACATCGCGAGATCCATGTAGACCTTTTTTTTTGTTTTAATACCCGAGGGCACTTGTGCACAGGGGTATTATAACTTTGTTCACAAAATGGTTGTTTGTAACGGGCAAAACGAATCGAGATAGATATAGAAAAATGTATACATAAATGATCAGAATGAAAAAGAAATCGAATCTACTGTCTGTCCGTCCGTCTGTGCACACGATGATTCGAGTAAAAATTTCGATATCTTAACGAAACTTGTTAGGCCGGATGGTATTGAAAATGGCCAAAATCGGATAATACTTCCCATTTAACGATATTTTAGTAATTACTAAAGCTTTTTCACTCAAAATTGTTATTTACAAAGATCTTTAGGCGAACAATAAAAATATTATAAATTTTTGGAAAATGGGCGTAGCCACACCCACTTCTGATTATGTATGGCTGAAAATTTTTAAAATTTTCAAAATCGTCCACATTCCACATAACGGTAATTTAGGGAAATACGAAATCTTCGAGGAATCAGTAAATATTGAAGCTAATTTATTCAAAATTTATGTTTGCAATAATTCTTTACAAAAAAAAATGCGTATAATAAAATTTTAGAAAATGGGCCCACTTATGACCACGTACATACCTCGGTAACCGCTCGATCAATTTGAACCAAACTCGGTATAATTATTGCACTTGCCACGTGAAAGAAAAATGTTGAAAGTTTTTGAAATCGGACTAAAATAAACCCCACTTTTCATATAACGGTAAATTTCAGAATTGCTTGAAACTTTGATATATTGAAATTTAAAGACACAAATTTACTCAAAATTGATATTAATAACAATCCCTTAAAAATAAATAACATTATTATAGAATTTTAAGACGCTGTCCCAATGCACGCCTTGCTGACTTTAATTTGCTTTGATTTACTTCGACAACTTGTTTGGCCGAATGGCGGCTTGGGACGCTGTCAAAGTAACCAGATGTCTGGTTGAAAAGTCAATGTCTGTTCCCTTAACACAAATAATTATTTTCTTATAAAACTGTAGAAAATGTATCAGATTTATTTTTAAATTAATGCGAAATAATGTTTGCATTTAAAAGAAATGGTAATAATGATACATATATATGTATGTATATCTACATTTACTAAAAAAACTGTCAAAAGCCTACAAAACGCTTTCATATAAAATGTTTGCCTGTTTCAAATAGGCGCTTTGGGGTGCTTAAAGCAAGTGAAGAAAAGCTGCCATTTGGCCAGCCTTTATACGTTTTGGTATATTCCAAATAATTTTTGACACTTCTCGCAGCGGAGCAAGCAAAGCAAGCCTGCATTGGGCACGTACCTTTAGAAAATGGGCGTGTTACCGCCCACTTATAACTAAATAAGTTTTTCTCAATAAGTCTAACAGAACATACTACATATCGAAATTTTTAGAAATAGGGGTAAAACCACCCATGCTTACCATGTAATGGTTTTTTTTCAGAAAGGTGAACAACTATATTTAATACATGCGCCGGGTATTTAATGTTCGACTTCCCCTAAACTTAGACTTTTTTACTTCTTTTACATTAGTATGGGTTTCACCATTGTCCTATGAAAACGATCTTGAGTGCTACAGTATATCGTGAGTCTTAATATGACTATCCTAAAATAAAAAGTGGGTGAATTGAATTCTTATATTTTTAATAAATAATCTTTAGTATGGACCAAACTAAAATCTCCTTTTCATATAAAAATTCGTATGTGTCCCACCCGTGACAGAGGAATGTCGGTTTTTTTTTTATAATAAAGCAATAATTTTTTATATAGTTTTTGTTTTGTTAGAATTCGTGGTTCTTTTTTATTATAAGACATCAAGTTCACACAAAAAAGTGAAATAAATTCGCAAAGTTTCCGTAAATTATATAAAGCAGGTTATTTTTGTCCCATCCGTGGCAGAAGAAATATGTAACTCAGATTTTTTTCTATATAAAATGAATTGAGTATAGTTTTACCAGAATGTAAAATTGTTGAGTACTTTATACTTGAATTTAAAGAAGAAAGAACATTTTTACTGTATAAATTTTCCACCGTGACGGTGGAATATACCCCACATGGTTTCTGAAATTTTCCGACCACTCAGATAATTAGCGGTCTATGCTAAAGCTTTGCTGTGGTCAGATGGTACTTGTAGTACGAGTGTACCAAGGCTTGAATAGCCTTGGCAACTGGGGATAGGAGAGTTATGTGTCGATAAAAAAAGGTTTCCCCGATTCAGTAGAAGGCCCACACTCCCTGATTTTCAAAAGCCCCGAATGATGGGAATAGTCATAGGCGAATTGGGGGTCTTCGTGAGGTAGTGTACACCCACCGTGACCATTTTTTCATTCAAAAATCACTGAGAATTTTGGGATACTTCAACTTGCACATTAGTATACTAAAATTAAATGAGCCCTTAAACTGCATATCCGAAATTATAGGTTTACAAAATTCGACCACGCTTTTTTTAAAAAGTTTTATCAAACCAGTTCATTCGACCTACTGTGCAATGGGTGATATTTGCTGGCAGAGGAATGTTTATCCTGCTTTAACTGACTGAATGCTTGTTTAAACGATTAATATGCTTATTTGTTAATAAGTTATAAGTATAGATCTACTCAAAAGTTTTTTAAATACTTAAAAATTGCCTACATATCTACTATGTATTCATGTTTCTTTCGTAAATATAAATACTTATAACGTAAATTTTTACCCTTGCACGCGCCATAAATTCTCAGCAAAAATAAATTGATTATTCGTGTCGTCTTCAATTCAAAATGCAAATGCAATGCCCCAAATACCAAACAACACAAACACATAGCCAAGCAAAACACACACGTAAAAGAAATGCACAAAAAAGCCAAACAAAATACAATAGAAGGCAAACAAAATGTTGACACAAATACTTGCAAAAATAAATTTATGCATTTATATGCCTTGAATATCCTTATCGAGTTATATTGTTAGCTGTACTAATGTTTGTTAAGCAAGCATGAAACAAAAACAAACAAATGTGCATATAAACATAAACACATAAATATGTATGTAACTATGAAAGTTACGAATAAAGGCTAACTGAAGTTTTCATAGCCTACCACAATTTGATTTCTGCTATGCGCTATTAAAACAAAACACAGAAAAAAAAAACATTGAACCACCAAAACTACAATAACAGTAAGAATAAAATAAAATATTAAATGCAAATGGCAATCGCATAACAAAAATAAACTAAAAAAAAAACAACAACAGCAGCAGCGACATTTGATTTTACGAGTATTTATTGCTGTCGCCTCGCTACCTGGATGACAGACTAGGCTGGTTTACTTTTGCAGCTAGCTGACTGACTATGAGCTACTAGCTGCTTGACTGAGTGACTTTTTCCAAACATACAGCGCCTGCCACTGGAATTGCGCCCTATTTTGACTCTCAGTATTGTTAGTTTTTCTTTTGCTTAATTTATATTAATTATTTTTTTTTTTATAAAAATAATGCGTATTCAAAACAAAAAATATTTAATAAATTTTTTTTGATTTTTTTTTTTTTGATTGTGCAAGTTTCATTTTTCTAAAAAAAACGCGTTGATTTTTGATAGTTTGCGTTTTTTTCTGTAAGTGTTTCCGGATT